ACACTTTTACAAAATCAACTAGCTACAACTAGTTAATTACAATAAATATCTAAGTTAAGTATTTAAACTTAAACAGGCTTGGTATGTGAGGAATGCTCATGCACATGCTTGGTTTTCACCCGAAAAAACCACTGTTTTGTTTGTAGAAAGCCTTTATTGCACAGTAGAACACTTACACCATTGTCCACTTCCAAAATGTCTTTGCTCTGCTAAAAAAACACATTGTTGGATTTTGCAGAGGTGGCCGGCCGGCCAGGAGTGATGGCATGCCGGCCACTACTGCACAGTTCATTTTGCTGCAACAGAAAACAAACAGAGCATGCACAGGGTATTCTCAAGGGTTTGTTTGCACAATTCACCCCTCCTTATCATGAACAGATCAAAGGAGAGACAAAACTTGGTCCACAAACCATCAACTCAAGTAATTTCATTGCATGATGGCTTATGAACCAAAGTGTGCAAGTTCAATAAATGTAACAAAATAAGTCTCTAACCTCCTCTCTTTCATGAATTGATCAAGGGAAGTGGTGACCTTGGAAACTTGATCCATTTCATCACTAATGAGTATGAAATGTCTCAAGCTTCCATGTGTTCAATTAACGTCTGATTGAACACAAAACCAAATTCTTATCTTGCATCATTTTAGTCCCATTTTAATTACCAACCATCCTTTAATTCATTGAGTCCAAAAGTGACTTTAAGTCCTCTAATGGAAAGAGGGCTCAAATCAAGTGTTGCTTTGGGCATGAAAGAGATATCATACCGTTGGTAGTGAACCCCCAAAGGGATTAAACCATTAAGCATGGCATCTCAATCCCATGTTTAAACAAACAAGTAATTTGAAACCACTTTCAAAGCAAAACAAAAGGCAAGAAAGGGGGGAGGTTGCAGATATGATTAAGAGTGATCATAAGTATGGAAAGCCATAAATAAATGCAATCAACTTAAACAAGATAGTGTCTAAGGCCTAAAACACCAAACTCATGAGGACAATTACACTATAAGCATGTAAAACAATGCTAAAATGCAAATATCAACCAAAAATAGTGCTAAAATAGTCCTAAAATATGCTGGAATTAAGACAAAAATAGCTAGATTAATAAGCTAAAATATAGAGCATGCTAGGCTAGTAAGTAAGACATAAGGAGGGGAGGCTAACCCCTCCAAATTTGGACTTCAAAATATGATTTTAGCCACTGAAATAACTCTGAAAATCAATGTTTAAAAGCTTAAAAAAAGATAGTAAAAGGATGAGAAACACAAGGGAAAATGCCTTCAAAACAAGGTACAAAGAAGGGTGAACCACCCCTCAACCTTTAATGGCCTTCAAACCCAAGTTTCAGCCAAAAAATACAGAGTTTTTACAGCCTAAAAACAGTTAAAAAATTGCAAGAAAAAGAGTAGTTAAAGCAAGTAAAAAGGCAAAGCCTTATACCTCTTGAAGAGGAAATCAATTCCAAGCAATAAAACCAAGCAAGCACATCCTCAAGAGCTCAAACAAGGCTCAAGAATACCTCAGCTCAAATATGGATAGGTTTGGTTAAGAGTGTATAGGCAAAGGTGAAGGATATATAAGCAAGGGTTAAGAAATTTAGAGAGAGAGAGAGAGAGAGAGAGAGAGAGAATTGTAGAGAGAGGAAAAATTTTGCTCCAAATTTTTTCTAACCTTAAAACAAGAGAGGGAGGTCTCCTATATATAGAAAACATGAATTTTCCTCAAGAACATCCAACCATACACGTGGGAGCAGATGCAAGCATCTGTGCAAACAGTTGGCACAGTTGTCACAAAATATCTGCAAAAGACATTGGTGGCCGGCAAGCCACATTAGTGGCCAGCAATCAAGAGTGATGTTCGGAAGCCCAAAGAGGTGGCTGGAAAGCCACCAGAGGTTGCAGGCTTGAAGATCTCAGGTTTGGTCCAAGAATGAGGCAACATGCGTATAGGGTTTGAAGGACTCATAACTGTGGCATTCTGCTGAGGACTTTGAGAACTTGACAAGCAAATACACTCATCATTGGGTGTGTATGCGATGACGTCCAAGTCGTAAGAGTCGTCAAAAATGGGGTGTCTACAGTTGCCCCTCTTTGACAGAACTCAAAGTCATGAAATGACGTGAGTGAATGTCAAAGCAAGAAGATGACCCATTTTGACAAGGCCGTAAGACTTAGAGAAACAATCAAGACAAAAATAAATGGTTGCGCCCGTAGGCTGCCTATGTATCCCTTTGCAAGGAATCAAACCAGCGTAGTTCAAGGGCAGAATGCAAAATGATATCCACAATGACTTTGAAAGCTGGACTCACACGCTTCGCGAAGCCGGCTATTTTGAAAACTCATGTTCATGCAAGATGATGCAATAAGCAATAACAAATACAATAAACAAAAATAAGACAACAACATATGAATGTATGAATAAGCAGCTTCAAGTTGCAAAAGGAATATAAAACATGCTTTGACCACACCAAAACATGAAACGAGGAAAGAAAACACTGCTCAGGGTTGCACCTCACGCGTCTTGAGAAACTGAGAAACAAAAAAAATCGCTTGGGCTCGCGCTTCACGCGTCCCAAGAAACAAGAGAAATCGCTCGGGCTCGCGGTTCATGCGTCCCAAGAAACAAGAAAAACTGCTTGAGCTCGCGCTTTACGCATCCCGAGAAAAAAGAAAACCTACTCGAGCTTGCGCTTTACGTGTCTCGAGAAATAAGAAAAACTGCTCAGCTCACGCTTCACGCGTCCCAAGAAACAAAAACAATAGCTCGGGCTCGCGTTTCACACGTCCCGAGATAAAACACACCCAAGGCCGTGTGTCACGTGTCCTGAGATACAAGAAAATCGCTCAGGTTCACGCTTCACGCGTCATGAGATAAAACATGCCTAGGGCCACGCGTCATGCGTTCTGAGATACAAGAAAACCGCTTAGGCTCTCGCTTCACGTGTCCCAAGATAAAACACACCCAGGGCCGCACGTCACACATCTTGAGAAACCAGAAAACTGCTTAGGCTTGCGCTTTACGCGTCTCGAGATGAAACAGAGAGGTGTACACTAGATACACAAAGTGAACGTATGCGATAGATGCACAAAATGAACAAGTGCGATAGATGCACAAAGTGAACATGTGCGATAGATGCACAAAATGAACGTGTGCGATAGATGCACAAAATGAACAAGTGCGATAAATGCACCAAGTGAATAAGTGTAATAGATGCACAAAGTGAATAAGTGTGATATAGTGACAACGCATGTTCCATGCAAGATAGACAACTGACGTATGATGTTAATTGAAGGCATGTTGCATGAAACAAAAGCATATTCTATGTATGAAATAAGAGCATATTCCATGGAAAATTGATAGCGTGTTCTACGCACAAATGATAAATGATGTAAGACATGCATGCAGCATACGTATATGTCACATGCGCATCCTATGCAACGGAAAAGCATAAATATGTAATTCAACAAGACGACGAAAACCAATATTCAGTGATGACCTCCGATTTACCTCTCGGAGATGTTGTAACATGTTCACAAAGGATACACCTTGTTTATGTTGGCAAGTGAGGAACATCGTGCACCAAAACATAGTTTTGAGCTCCCTTAGGAACAATCTGAACCCAACAGTAAATTTTCCTCACACCTTTTGGGAAACAAAGACACAAAACAACATCAGGATACAGAAGAAGGCCACCGGCCACTCGCTGGCCACAAGGAGAGGCTGCCGGCCACCTGCTGGCCATCAAAAAGCCTTGTCGACCACCGGTGGCAATTCGGGGCATTTCGGTCCTTTTGCTCACAGGTCTTTAAATACAAGCCTCAAGGCTTCATTTCTTCATAACTCTAGGCCCGAAAATCTTCTCTCTCTCCCTCTAGACACTTTCCCTCTCTAGATCCGAGCTTTACACGCATTTTCCAACGCCCCACGCACATTTTATTCATTAAACCCTCTTCATTATTAACATTTTGAATCGATCAAAAATTGTTTTCGACACTTTTTTTTCCCTCATTTTCACCCCTCTGGGCTTGTTCTCCTCGAGTTTCTCTCAGGTTTCGTGAACTTTTCCAGGCCTTGACTTTTTTTCCTATTTTCTCTCTCCTAGGGTTGACTTTTTCCAAGTTTTCCCTCTTTTTTCCATTTCTCTTCACTTTTCACCTATTTTTTACCCATTTTCCAGATGGCCAATGAGATTCCACATGACGGATCCCCTCCAGAGGTTCCACCTGCATTCCCACCCGTTATCGAGGTAGCAGAGCCAGTAGTTGCTGAGGCTGGTGAGGCGGCTTAGGGCATTGAGGCCGACCTTGAGGCGAAGTTTGAGCTCGAGTTTGAGCTAGCGCCGTTACTTTTGAGGGTACGACCATTTGATCCGGCGAGATATCATTCCTGCACGCACATCTTACCACCTAGAGACATTAGGCGGTTCAATGACCTTGCTCGCGATGTACCAGAGGACCTCTTGTTAAGAGATTCGGCCTCCCACCTTTCATCCAACGCCACTGAGGTATGAACTCTATTTTCAAGCATTCCTACCTTTCTTGTAACTGCATTTCTTGCACTGTCTTTCATCTGACTGTACTTTTTCATCACTACCTTTCATCTGATTATACTGCATTTCATCTGATTGTACTTTAATCATTGTGTTTCATCTAATTCATCTGTTCTTTGCCACAAGGAGAGTCCGATGCCTATAAAGGGTACGGAGCTACGATAGCGAGAGATTGATATAATGAGCTCCCTGCTGAAGTCTGTGATATTGTCGACGAGACTGGCTTTGGACTTTTCTGCTTTGGCCTAACACGGGTCATTATGAGCCGTCCTCTTCTAGGAGCGCTTGTGGAAAGGTAAAATATTTTATTATATATAATTCAAATTATTTACATAAATTTAAATTTTAATATAATATAGTTTTTATATTATATGATAGTTAACGTAACATTTTTTATACAATTTTAAAGAAAAATTAATTTTAAGAAAAAAAAATTAGCAAAGAAAAAACTTTAAATATAACAAAATAAAAAATATATATATATGTAAAAAACTAAAATAAAAAAAATCAAACGTAAAAAGGACAAATAATATTTGAATATCACTCTTTACCTTGGCATGGAAGGGCAAAACGTCACCGTGTAATCAGCACCCGAACAAGTGAACGTACTCGTAGGATCATCGTATGCGTAGCTATATGATCTTGGACAAGCCGACTTGAACATCTCCGAGTAAACCGACGGCTTACAAGCCGCCGGTGAATTAAACGCGTCTTTACAACAATACTCTGGACTCCCAAACGCCTCACACGCGCTCTTACACGCTTCTCCATCTCCCACTCTCAGCTCAGCCGGGCATTGCAAATTCAAGTCGGTCACACACCCAGTCGTCGCACACATGCCCGACCCGCCACTCGTTTCCACTATCATGGGCAAGTTGTACCCGTCAACAAGACTCACGTCGTAGAAGTCCTGCCCGCCCGACCCGAGCGTGATCTCGGCGAGAGTCGCGGGAGGAGTAGCTCCGGCTCCGTTGCATTCGGCTTGGCCCGACCCACAGTCGGCGGTGGAACATGAACCCGACTCGGATCCATCGAAGTTACATCCGGTTCGGCCCCAGAACCGACCGGACCAGCCGGTTGGGGCTTGGAATGTGCGTGAGCTGTCCTTGGGGAGCTCGAATCCAGTGCTGTCGAGTCTAGGACTGCCTGCATTTGCGAGAATTCCAGGCCATACAGTGTTGTCACATTTGTTGACGAAAGTGAATGTAGTCCCTAAAACACCTGAGAAAGAACAGAGCATGAAGATTTGTTACCATATAAGCTTTGATTTTTGAAAATTCCATGAAAAGTGAGAGAAACCCAGATGAAAAAAGAGAGAATTTTTAGCATACAAGCTTCGATTTTGAAAATTCCATAACAATGTGAGAGAAACCCAGATAAAAATAAAAATAAAATAAAAGAGAGAAATTTTTTCTACATTTACCTCTTGAAAGAAGAAACAGAGTGAGGGAGAAGTAAAGAATAAGAGGTGAGGAGGGTAAAGAGAAGAGATCCATGTGGGTTTACTCTTTTTTTTTTTTTACTAGATTAAGCGAAATGGGGGTGAGATTTAGTTGGGGTTTTGTGATTGTGGTTTAGTGGGTGAAGTGATAAATTGTGGGTTGAGTGAAGATGGTGCAGACACAGAAGGGGCATTTATGTCTAGACAGAGGACAAAGAAATGGGTACAATGCAGAGCTTTGTTGGTGGTGGTGGCGGTGTAGTTGTGGTTGTAGTTGTGCTTGTGCTTGTGCTCTGGCTCTGCAACAGGTTGATGACAGTGAGAAATGAGGAATGGAGAAGAGGTCAGCGTTCCACACATAAAAATCAACAAAACAACAAAAATGAGCAGCTTTTTAGCCTGGAACAGAACAAAGAAGAGGAGTGGTTTGGTTAGTGAGCAAGTAGAGAGAGCTAATATCCGAGGGTTTTCTTTTGGGCCAATGTCTAATCAGCTATTTGGTGTGGGTTTCATGTTCCTCCGTTGTGCGAGTTCTGACTTAATCGGAGCTTGCCTTGGGAGGTCGGGAAAAGTTTTCAGGTTATAGTCTCTTACTCGGAACGGACAACAGGACACCCTGGTGATCTCCTCATGGGGCGCTGCCTTGGACCTGTGGGAGGGTGAGAGGATTTCCCCTCTAACAAAAAAAAAAAAAAAAATCCGAGAGTTTTAGATCCTTGTCATTGGCGCTGTTTGGTTAGTTAATTATTTTGATAGATTATTAAAAAAAAAATTATTATTATTTTAGATCATGTCTAATGATTCATTAAATAAATTATAAAATTTAAATTTGATGAAAAAGTTTATTTTTTGATGCTCCAACTGTTCATCAAATAGACTATCAAATTTAAAATTTTTCAAATTTTTTATCAAACTGAGAATGGATATTCCTTTTATCAAATCACTGTTTATTGTCGTTGCATTTTCACCAATAAATATCATCTCAGATATCCCCAGATAACTATTTCAGAGCGAAAATTTGTGAAAAATTTACACTGGCCGATCAATCAGTCAGACATCCATCTAGTCGTTCGGTATTCTGATAAAGCTTTAAAACTTCCGTTGGAACACTTATATCAAATGGACCTTTTACTCAAATTTGGTAAAAAATTTGATGCACCGTTAGAATTGCTCTTAATCTGTCCAAAATAATTGTGTTTGGGAAAATGATTAAATTTTTTTTTATAGTTGAATGTAATGTTTGTAAAAAAAAACTAAAATAATTATGGTTGATGTGATATTTTATCTTATTAATTATTTTAGCTAATTTTATCTTTTAGGTCTCATTTGAAAATAAGTTATTTTAGTAACTTTTTAATTTTTTTATAAAAAGACATACAAAAAAATTAAAAAAAAAATGATATAAAAATTTATAGTAACTTTTTAACTAAAATTAAAAATTACCAAATGAGACTTTAGTACTATTTTAATCCAAAAAAAAAAAAAAAAAAAGAGTCCAAATATGATTGTTTACTTCAGTGACTCCTGGCATGGTACTAAAACGAAGTTTTATTATTATTAGGGTAAATTATATATATTCCCTTAAGGTTCGGTTAAATTATAAATATCTCTTGAGATTTGAGAAATTATAAATTTTTTTCTGAATGTTATATTTGCATAATAAATTAGGGAGTAATTTGTTATGAAATTTAAATCTCATGAGGCAAATTATTATAAAAATACAAACCTTAGAAGTAAAATGTAATTTTCGAAACTTCAAGGGGAGTCTGTAATTTAGCCAAACTTTAAGGGAGGTATATATAATTTGCCCAAATTATTATTTTTCCCCATAGCTTTTTCCTTTCCCCCTCTTTTCTTTTATTTGTTATTTTTTGTTGTTTTTTCTCATCGCTGAACTTTAGGTAGAAAATTTCAACTGTTGCTAGACCTCCTCTCATTGTAGACATTGAGTTCCCCCTCTTCTCTTTTATTTGTTACTAGCATATCACCCGTGCTATGTACGGATTGTGTTTATAATTATTTATATATGTGAATTGTGATTTTTAATTTTTTTTTTAAATGTCTTCTTTTTTTCATTTTTTATATTATATTGAAGTTTAATATTTTGATAATAATAATTTGTGTTGGAATTTTCAAGAAATTAAATGTCTTTTTTTTATTATATTATATTAAAGTTTAATATTTTGATAATAATCATATGTATTGGACTTTTTAAGAAATTTTTTTTATACTTGTTTTTAATGCATTAAAGTATTATTATGAGAGATAATAATCATATGTGTTGGAACTTTTCAAAGAATTCATATGTGTTTGATTTCAAAATTTTTTTTTTTAAGATAATGCTAGGGACACCAAATTTTCTACCAAACAAATGACCAAATGTCTCACATGGGTGTGGTGTCCGCAATTTTGTGGACCCCATACTCATGTGAGACATTTGGTCATTTATTTGGTAGAAAATTTGGGACCTCTAGCATTTTTCTTTTTTTTATGCTTGTTCTTAATGCATTAAAGTGTTATTATGAGGTAAGACTTGAGAGTTGGGATAAGTTAATAAATGCTAAGAATATTTTTTTTAAAATAAAAAAACCAAAAAATTTAGATTGAGGAATTGGAGCTCCCACAAGATTTGGGATTAAAAACCTCTTTTACTTAATATATAGTATAGATTTTTTGTTTCTCATCGCTGAACTTTATGTAGAAAATTTCAAGTGTTGCTAGACCTCCTCTCATTGTAGACATTGAGTTCTATGATTTTTTATACAATTGTGTTTGGTCATGAGATTTAAAAAAGAGTTTAAAAAAAAAAATAGAGAATATATGTAAAACTAAATGAAATACGAATATGTTTACATCTCACTTACATTTTTTCATTTGAAAAAGGTCAGCAATGTTGGTGACATGGAAGACAAGCTTTTGGTTTCAACTTGGGTTGAGATCTTTGCACTTGGCTTGGGTTCTTTATATTTGGTTCTCAAACTTTACCTCTAACAAATGGAGAGGACAAGCCTTCACCGTCTTTGGGCATCAAGTTGTGGGCTCCTACTACTTCTATGACAAGCTTTTCTTTGTTGGTGTTCATGATTGTTGAGAGAGAGAGAAGCTTACCCTCAAACTTTGTTCACAATTTACAACTAGAGCTTACCACAAATCAGCAAATCAACCAAGCATTTGTTCTTTTTCACCTCTTTCATTGTGAGGCTCTGAATTGTTTTTTTCCTTTCTCAACTTGTAATGGAGAATCATGGGGTTGTTCTGTCAAATTGAGGAAATTTTCATAAATTAAACTTTTAATTTTTTTAACGTTTCCCCCATCTTTTAGCTAGTTAGTTTAACTCTTAAATATGGGAAGCAATTTGAAGATCCATTATCGTTGCCGCCTTTCCTTGCCGCCGTCTCGCTCCTTTTCGTTTCGTCTCTCCGTTCTCTGTTCTTGCTGTCGGGTGGGTTAGGGTTGAGAGAGAATAGAAAAGAGGTAAAAGCAAACCAAAATTAAAAAAAATATATATTCAAAACACCTTAACAATGTTGCTTTTTGTCCCATGGTAGGAATTACAGTAAAAAATAATGATAGAGGACCCGGCCTCAATCCGATGGTTCATTTTAAAATACACATCATATAAATTATGACATTTAGGGATAATTATTACATATGTCATGAATAAATTATTTATAATTATAACTAAAAGTGAATAATGAGTCATAATCATAAGATGTAACCAAATTTTTAAAAAAATTATAATTGAAATAATAATCATATTAGGTTATAATTAAGATTAAGATTAAGATTAAAATAAATACAATAAGTCATAATTAAAATTACAAATATCATAATTGAGCATATGTTACATACTTCAAAATACAATATATTATAAAATTTCTCAAAATTTATATACACAACCTTTTTTTTAAGAGGTAATTTCACTTCAGTAGGTATTTACAAAAATATTTGTAAATTAATGATAAATTTTATAAATATTAAAATGTAAAATTATAATTTTTTAATCAATTTATATTTAATATTTAAAAAGTAAAATGGGAGATATAATTTCCAAATTTTTCAATTATAATGGCCCCACATGAAAAGTGCTTTGGATACCCCGAGTGTTTTGTTCTTTTCATAATTCTGCAATGTTTCATTCGGCAGCTGGAGCCTTTGACCAAATAATTCTGAAAAAAGATAAATTACAAATATATTCTTTAAATTTGATTAAAATATAAATTAATTTGTATAGTTTTAAAAATTATATTTTATCTGCTAAGATTTTTATTTTTATAATAAATTGTCATTTTTATTAATAAATTATCAAGTCAATTAATAATTTTTAATAATATTAAATATATATTTCAATCAATAATTTATGTAATTTTATTATTATATAGGAGAGTAATTATGAATTTTATTTTTTAGTTAATTTTGTTAAATAAAAAATCTAACAAGAGATATTTGTAACTTTTCAAACTATATGGAGCAATTTGTACTTTAAGCAAATCTTAAATGATGTACTTGTAATTTACCAAAAAAGAATGGTTATATAGAATTTTTGTTGAAAATAATATAATAATGTTAATTTAAAAAATATAAATTACCTTAACCAGCTTTTTAAAGTGATAAAATTAAAATTTAATATATTTTATATTGAATTATGTAAAATTTTTTAATTTTGATGGTGAAAATACCAGAAAAATTATATTTTATTGATAAAAAATTACAAAGAAAATAAGGTACAAATAGATCAGATTGAGGCACAGATATCTCGTTTTTTTTTAAGGAGATCAAGCCCATTGCGGTAGGAAGAACCCAAATACCGATACAATAGTCACAAAACTATGACTTATCCCTTCCAGGATACAACAGCCCGACCACTTGTCGTATCGTTCAGGCCAACTCTGCACAAGATGGTGAACCCAAAACTCTACCAAGAAAAGCACCCTTCTTTGCTAGTAATCCCTCAAGTATAAACAATAGTTGGTGTGTTGGTGTAGAAAAGAGTAGATGTGAGGAATTATTTATAGGCCACTAGGACTTTGCAAAATACACCAAAAAATAATAATGACCATGAATCTAGAGAAAAGGGAGAGTCTCAAAAAAATTAACTCACCACCAAGTTCATGAACTCCAATTAATCTCTATTCATGAACAAGACAAAATGTCATCAAAATAATGAATCTCCATTTATGAACAAGACAAGATTCATGATCAAGAAAAAAAAAAAGATTCATGAATAAAATATATAAATAAATAAATAAAATATATTAAAATGGTCCAACAATCCCCCACTCATTTTAATATCAACAAGGACAAGAGAGATTACCAAACAAAGATAGACTAGTATGCATCATGAAGGTGTGCTCTGTATTAAACCTTCATTAGTGAAATAACAACTTCTACTCTAGAGTCAGTAGTGGTCTCAGAATTGAACTATGACTTCTTAGGAAAAATAAAGTATTACTGCTCGCACATAA